CTAATAAAACACAAATGAGGAGAATTTCTCTTAATATTCTCCAATTAATAGCTTGAATATGTTCAAAACATTCCTGTTAAATGTTTTCATTTTCTCTTTAGATCTTCTTTTCTGTAATGGGATTTATTTTTACTATTTAATGTAACCTATTTATTCTATTTCCTTATGACTCCATCTTGCTCACAGATATGTGTATAAGTGTTCATTTCTTCAGGATTATTCCATTTGTAGCAACACAGCTCTTTCTACCTGGTCTTCTGCTTTCTCATCCTACATCCTTGAGAGTTTTTGGTTAGCTTTTCCTAATCTGGATAAAACTTTACACAACTTTTTTTATCTTTTCAAAGAACAAGATATTACTTCTGTAAAAATTGCTGTCTTCCCATAATTGAGGTCTCAGCTTCTTGCTGTCCCACTTTTATAAGGTATGTAGTTATATATTTGAGATCGTCCTGAGTCTTATAAAAGTAGACACTGCAGCTATAAACTGCTGTCTTCATAACTATTATATTGTATCCTGCATGTTTAGGTATGTTTTATTTGTCTTTTCAAAGAAGACTTAAAAGTTTTCTTTTGTCTTTTCCTTAATCCATTAAAGGCTATGGAGTACTCTTGAATTTTTAGTGAATACATTTCTTAGGATTTTCTTAATGTTGATTCATAGATGATTATACAGTAATTACTCAGGAGGGTTGATATTGATGCTATTACTTTTAAATAGTTTATATTTAATTTCTGACATAGCATTTAATGCAATCTAGAAACAATTCTGCAATATTTTGTCAATCTGTTTTATGTCCAATTTATCCGTAGTGACTATTATTTCTCACACAAAAAATTCAATTGTGATTAAACAATTCCTGATTGTTTTTTCAAGTTGATCTATAAAACATGATATACCTTCCAAGACACAACATGATTTCCAACATGCACTTTAGCTCTCAAAACATTTCACAACTTAGAAACGATGGAAGAAGTCATTTCCTTTTCCCTTCCTATATAGCGAAATGACACTTTGCAAGAGTTATGCAAAGTTTTAAGGATGATTTTTTAAAATGATTTATTAATTTTTATTGGAAAATCAGATATAAGGAGAGGAAAAGTGAAAGAGAAAGATCTTCCATCCACTGTTTCACTCCCCAAGTGGCCACATTAACTGGAATTAAAACCAAGAGTACAGAGCATCCTCAGGATCTCTCATATGAGTGCAGTGTCCAAATGCTTTGGGCAATCCTTGACTGCTTTGCCAGGTCCCAAGCAAGAAGTTGCATAAAAAGCAGGGCTAACAGGATTAGAAGCAACAGCAATATGGGATCCCAATGAGTGCAAGGCCAAAGTGTTAGCTGTCAATCAACCACACCAGGCCTGATGATTTCTTCTTCTTCTTCTTCTTCTTCTTTTTTCTTTTTTTTCTTTTTCAAGAGTCATTTGTTTTTATTGGAAATTATGATTAATTGGGAGGAGAAGAGACAGAGAAAGAACTTCCAATAAACAGGTTAATTCTCTTACAAGCTGGACAGTAGCAGCTGTAGCTAACATAAGCCACAAACTAAGGAAATTCAGCAGATCTCCCAAGTGGTGCAGAGTTCTAAGACACTGAACATTCTTTAAGGGATTCTATTATTTTATAACATCAATTATTTTAAGACATTGAAACTCTTACTCAAGAAAAACAGCCTAAATATATTACATTTTCTGCAGGGAGAAGTTAACATTAATACCACCAAAATGTTATCTACTCAGGATGCTATTCAGCAGCTAAAGTTAAGAATCTAATGATGTTCTATAAATGACTAAGGTTTTTTGCATTAATTTTTGAAAATTATGTTTTGAAACTTCTTCTCATACATTCTTGAAAGTTGAATAGCTAACTCTGTCTATGACAAGGTTGCCTCATAACACGGAACATCTACCTCCTGACAATACATAAGGGTCATAAGATCAATCAAGGGTGTAATCCATCTCTGGTCTATTGACGTCTTAGGTGATCTCCTTTTTTCCCCATTTGCTTGAAAGGGATAACAAAATAAAGGGACATTCCACTGACAGGCTAACTCTCCAAATTCCCATTGTAAGCATTGGCTCAGATTGGGTCAAGGAGATCAGAATTTGAGATGAATTTTCTCTTAGAATGCAGATGTGTCATTGGGCTTCCAAGAATGAATTAGCAGGATGCTGGATTGAAAGGAAAGTGACTAGAATAAACTTGTCATCAGCCAAAATCAAGCATAAGAAAGGGGCATTGGTCATTATGTGGATTAATTTGATAAATTAATATATTATTTAATAAAACTAACATGAATTTATATTCCATTTCTCAGATGTTTCAAATTTACATAAATTTTAATATCCTATTTACATACTAAGTTCAGAATTTTGTGGGTTTTTTTTTTCAGGAATTTATCTAACACTTTAGTGAATGCTTTGTGTGACTTCAAAAGAGAGTTTAGAAACCACAAGAGAAATAGCTTAAGAATCACAAAAGTGAAAAACACTAACCATGAAAAATTATTTTCCTACTATGTTAAGATCTATATCCTGATTCATAACTCTGTCATTTACAGTTATCTAATATTGATTTTTAAGTGTTTGAAAAAAGAAAGGAAGATAAAGTATTCTTTGGTTCATTCTAGTCATCCAGTATTTATAATATTTATGAAATTGAGAACTAGTGGATGGTTTCATGCTTATCAAATTTTAGAATAATTCTGAAGGGACAAGATATTTTATTAATCAGGTGCACAACTGCTTCACATACTTGTCAAAATGTATAAAAACTTTTAAATTCACTTATTTTAAGGTCATTTTGTAACACTTCTTAGGATTCTTAGTATTGGTTTATATATTTTTAAAATTTATTTGGTTACATTTGTTTTTATTGGAAATTATGATTAATGGGGAGAAGAGACATAAAGAACTTCCATCCACAGGTTAATTATATTAAATTAGATTACCAAAATTTGTGAAATAAAAAAGACTTTTAACTTACCTTATTTCCATTTTAAAACATTTGAATTGCTTCAGAGAGCTCAAATTTATGTGTGGTGACTTGTATTATATTGTACCTTAAATTCAGGTATTCCAAATATGTGTGAACCACATTTATGAAATATCATATGAACATCTCTGTGAGGTCAATTTTTTTTACTATTAATAATATCATTTCTGAATTTTTCACAACTTAGTAATGCTTTGTTCTCTTTTCAAATGTTTATGAGGAGAACAGAAAATATTTAAATCCCTATTTGTCATTTCCTTGTAGTATTTCACATTACCATATTTGGGGTACATTTTCTTTAGAATATTAAACATTTGCGTTTAGATTGCATATTTGAGAGGCAATGTTACATCAAAAGTGAAAAGAACAGAGCTAGCTTCCATCTGCTGATTCACTCCCCATACAGACGAAATATCAGAGTTGGGCCAACCTAAAGCCAGAACCCTGCTCCAGATCTCTCCTAACGGTGTAGGGTCCCAAAGACTTAAGATATTCTTTGCTGTATTCCTGGACAAAGCAGGAATCAGGATAGAAATGCCCATGTGTAATACTGGGATATGCAGAAGGCCAAGTCAAATATGCTAAATCTCCAACACATTTAACTTTTTGGTCTAGCTCTGGATCCTATTTTTAATGCTATTTAACATTATTTTGCTTTCTTATTTTTGTCTGATAAATGATATAAATATGTAGATTCCATGCAAAACTTTGCATTTTCTTTTCAGAATATCTTGATTTCTGTTGGGCCCTCTGTTGTAATTTTAAGAAAATGTTATTTTCTTCATTATGCTTAAGTTACTGAAACCCCTCATTAACTGCCATGAAATTGAATATTCGAAAGGTTACTGATATGTTGAGAGGAGGAGAGGCAGAGAGGAAGATCTTCTGTCCCTTGATTCTCTCCCCAAGTGACTGCAAAGGCTGGTGCTGTGTCGATCTGAAGCCAGGAGCCAGGAACTTTCTCCAGGTCTCCCATGTGGGTGCAGGGTCCAAAGGCTTTGGGCCATTCTTGACTGCTTTTCCAGGTCACAAGCAGGGAGCTGGATGGGAACTGGAGCTGTTGGGATTAGAACCAGCACCCACATGGGATCCCGGAGTGTTCAAGGTGAGAACTTTAGCCACCAGGCCATTTTGCTGGGCCTTAATTAACATTTCTTTAAACTTTAAGGCTAGAATTAAATGAGTTTACAATAAGATTAAGTCACATTAGTAAATTTAAGTATGAGATTTGGTTGAAAGATAATTTTTATCCTTGTGGATCAATTTTGAGACATGCTTGAATCATCGGATATTTATAAAATATTGGATTTTACCTAATTAGAGCATATTTAAACTGCAGCTTTCTTTCAGCAAAGGAAGTTTCATGAGCATGGTGTAAATTAAGCATCCCTAAAGTGTTCAACTTACATATTAAAACGTACAAAATAATTAAGGAGCACAAGCATATTTTGGCAAAAGAAAGGATCGTTTATGTTTCTTTTTAAAAGAAAATTTATTTAATTTTTTGGACACAGAATTTCATAGAGAGGGCAGGACAGATAGAAAGGTCTTCCATCTCCTGGTTCACTCCCACATGGCCTCAAATAATGCTCATCTGAAACCAGATGGTTTCTCCTGGTGTTTCAGATCCTTGCAGGGCCCTGTAGATTGAGGTCTACTAAGACATTTTACCATGCCATTAAAAGGGATATGGACAGAAAGTAGACCCATCAAGCCTCAAAAAAGTACACTTATGACATGGCTCTTGGATGTAGAGAATGAAACAATTGAGCCAATGTTCAACTCTCAGGATGGTTATGTTCTAATCTGCCATGACTCATTTGAGATTCAAATGAGAAATTTAGTGACAATATGGAAAACAATATAAGAGATTATTAACAAGGTCTGATTTGTGGATACTGTAATATTTACTTTTGGGATATGATTAATAATAAACTTTGAAATAATTTTGCACAATATTAATCAAGAAATGCTAATACTTAATGTTCCTCAATTTTAACAGGTGTCTACAAATCATTATAAATTATATTAAGTTGGCAAAAAAAAAGCAGCAGAAAAAAAAGAATAAAGAAGATAATGGAATAAATGTGATGCTGGAAAAGGAGGACATTGTCTCAATTTGTGATATCATTGTACAATGCAAGAGTTTCAAATGCATGTCTGTGATTCAGGCCTTTATGTGCTCTGCTCCACAATTAATTGCTCAGTTATATATCACTTTTAATATTAGAAAATGGCCTCTAAGCAGAGGTAAGTTTAGCTGGCTTATGCTGAGAGCCTTTTGAGAAAACAATGTAGGGAAATGCCATCCTATGTAGCTAGAGAACAGTAATGTGGTGACACAAATTGGAATTTTGGTATTGGGACATATAGTTGAGTAATGCCAGATCACAATGTGCTTCAGAGGATGGCCCAAGATGTCTACACCTGCAAAAAAAAAAAAAAAAAAAAAAAAAAAACCCCCCCCTTGAGATGGGCTGGCTCTTTCAGCAGCTCTGAATTCTGCCACCCTGCAATAAGCCTGAACACATTTGATATAACAAAATATTTTGGAGTTGATGTGTTTTCATGTTAGTTTCATTTTGAATTTTAGCATTATGACTTAAATGTTTCCTAAAAGTACAGATTTTTCTAGAGCTTTTGAAAGCAACCACCCATCACACACACACTGTTTTAACTGGTTTTGTGTTTCATGGTAAACCTACACAAACCTTGCTTGAAAGAATTATACCAGATAACGGTAAGTACTTATAGAAATTGACTTTCCTTTTTAAAAATTTTACTTGAAACATTGCACCCATTTTTATCCATTTTGTTCTCTTAAAAGCTAAAAACAAAACAAAACAAAAAAGAGATTGTGGCCAGTATGGACAAACAAAACTTTGCTTTCAGCACTGGCTTCCATGGCATTTCCATTTCAGTTCTTGGTTGTTCTACCTTTGATCCAGCTCTCTATACATGGTCTGAGAATGTAGCACTGGCATCCCAAACTCCTTGAAATCTTGATCCCACATAAGAAACCCAGTAGAAGCTGCTGGCAAAAACCTTTGGCCTTGCAACTACTGGTGAAACCAGTGGATGAAAAATCTTCTCACCTTTCCTTCCCTGTGGAACTCAGCCTCTTCAAAAAATTCAATAAAACTTTTAAGAAATGAAATCTTCTATGTGGTGTGTACAGTGCCTCTCCCTGGAAGCACACATAAATAACAGGAAGAAAAGAGACTTAATGCAAATCAGACGGCAAGCCAAATACTCTATTTGTATTATCTCATTAACCCTGCCCATAACCACATAACATATTTGATAGTGTCCCTAATACGCAATTAAAGAAATGGAATTGCTTAGTAAATTAGACAATTTACTTGTACATTATTAGAGTGGGAATTAAACTTCAGAGTACCTTACTGGAAAAAAAAAATGAAATCCTTAATGGATGCTAAAATTAACACAAAATATTAATTGCTATCTTCATGCCTATAGTATATTATGGTTGAATCTGTAATTTACTTTCTTCCAATGATAGATGGTTGAAAATGTAATCTATAATTTTCTTCTACATATTTCCAATTTATTCAGAAATAGTTTAAAATTATTTAATATCTGCTTTCACTTACCTATGTTTTAATCTGAACTTCAGAGTGACTTTTTAAAATGTACTTTCTTAAATTAAATTTTTATAGCATGTATTCAATGTTCATAATCCAATGAGGAATAATATCACACTTGGAGTCCACTTGGACTACACTTCTCAAGATATAAAGGGACTGGCATCACTCACTGTCTAAGTAATGTGGAAATGCAACTTATATATTCATGTAATTATCTGAGGAATGACAATTCACTCTTTTGTCTGCTTATTTAATATCCATGTATGCATTGTTACATATCTATTTGATGGAATTTTATTATTTCTCTCAAGTGAACTTACTATAAATTTATCTCTGCAGCATTATCTACTCCTCTTCCTTTACTTCCTGTCCCATCAATCAGTTACATTGGTTCACTCTGACTCTAGGATTCATATTGACTCCATAATTTTTTGTAGTTTCTGATAAAACCTTGGCCTAAGTATTTTTCATGTTGCATCAGCCTTGTCTTTGGTATTCTCATCTCCTCCTAAACTTTCCATAAGGAACAGAGCCACTGGTAATAATGCTAAATGCATGTCTTATAAATGTGAAAATTGAATTATAAATTCTTCAAATTGTCTATCATTATATATAGTTTCAGAATTGAACTTTTATAGTTCCTTTCTGATGGATTATTCACTTGAAGCAAACGCCTTTGTGCCCATGTGCGCGTGAACAAATATTCATATCTGCTTATGTTTTCTCAAGTAAAATTAGAAGTATAGGATCGTACTTACTTTGGTTCCAGTCACAGATTATTAATAACATATGTAACACAAAAAAACCCTTTTATATTATATAAAAAGAAAATATTTGGTAATGTTTTTATTTTATATAATCTGAAAAAATTACATCAGAAAGTCTCTAAAAGTTTTGTATTTATTTTTCACAGCATTTTTGACGACATTTTCTCTGCTATCGGTCACATATGGTGCCATTCTCTGCAATATATTGTCCATCCAGATCAAGTACGATGATGCTAAGTTACACCCCTTACAATATCTGCACATCATGATATGGCGTAGCTTGGAGATTACCTCACGAGTTGTGACGGTGGTACTTTTCATCATATCCTTAAAGCTAAAGAGTATGTACTTTATATTAGTCACATTTTCTATATCATTTTTGGCACCATGGCTGGAGTTTTGGAGAAGAGGGGCTCATCATTCTCGCAGCAGGAGAAAGAAATCACATCCAAAATGTACTCTTGTGCTAATCACTCTACTATATGCGACCATTGACTTCTCCTGCTGGTCACCAGTGAAACTGAAGTTTTCAAGTGAGGAAATTATTGACAAGAGACAGAAAGGGGTTCATAGAGCCCTACATTACATCCCAAGGTTTTTAGAAAATATGATAATGGTATTGATCTTCAGGTATGATGGCAGAAAAACTTTATTGAATTGTTGTGACACAGTCATTGCTGTGCAACTGATCTTAAGTTATGTACTATCTATTGGATTTATGCTCATCTTCTATGAGTATTTATGCCCAGGCTCTTGTGACTTGCCAAAACATTCTTAAAAGCAGCAGAAATCACAGTGACTACCTAGGATCATCTAGTGCAAAGTCTATTAAAAGAACTATCAGAAACTTAGCACAGAATTCATTTTTTTTTAATAAAGGTGTTGGTATGTTATATCCAAGAAATGCTATTCACAATACAAGCAATAAGATGGAAGATTTGCATAAAGCTGTAAGAAAGAATTGAACATGATTTAAACAAGAAAAAATGTATAATTTTAACATATTTTACTCTTTTCTTGTTAATCACTTGCCAAATATCTTATGAATTCCTAATGTCAGACCTCAATTTTGCCTATGAGGCTTTTTAACAGTAAAAGATATTTCTGATATAATATAATGAAGTGTCAAGAGGTGAGTGTAACAAATATATTTGGGTTTTCCTGAGGTAATAACAAAAGTATTGAGCTATAAAGTTATTGGCATTGATTCAGTACTTCCAAGATACCAGATGTGGCAGCTCTGACATTACCATTGTAATAAAACAAATTTCCTTTCAAATAGTAGGATGGAAGAATTAATGGCAACATATGCATTAATCCCATTGCCTCGAAAGGAAAATATTCTTTAGGAAATTACGCTTTTATCATGCGACCACAAAAAGGCATGAGGACCTTTGGAAATGGAATTAAGTGAACTTTATTCATTCAGGGAGTAAGGCAAGGCAAAGGTGATGAAAATATTCTATCATCAGGCTCACAAAATTTGCACTAGTGCTCTGTTCCCCAGAAAGAAACTCTTAATTATTAAGAAAATCTAATCCTCTTTAATATTTCTCAAAAGTTTGCAATGAGTTTCTAATAAATATGCTTTTACTTTTATGTAATCAACAAGAGTTTGCACTCTGTTACCGTATTACAGTACATAATTTTTAGCTATATTTTCAATTCTCAATAGAGAATTTTATTTTTAAAAGTTTACTTGTACAATAATTTTTGTAGCTATGTGACCATGGCATATTTATACAACTTTTATTTTACCACATATGTTTGTAATCTAGCAATTTTCCTCCTTTGAAATTAGTATGAATATGTACACCTAGTTCAATTATAACTATTGATTATCATATCACATTTCCTGGTTGAATGCCTGCACTGCATTCCTGCATGTGCCTCCTGAGTTTAATTCCTGCTAATAAAGACCCTTCCAAGTAGTGCTGATGGTGGCATAATTGTGTTCTACACACAAGTAGGGAAAATAATTTGAATCCCTCACTCCAAATTCTGATCACATTGCAGCTGTAGCTCAGGAAGATACCTACAAAGTAAAAGTTGAATCAGAGGTCTCTATCTGGCCATCTGTGTCTCAAACTTTGCTGTGTTTAATTGCTAAGTACTGTGGTGTCTTAGTTCTACTTATTTGAAAATGTTATAGAATCATTGTACCAATCCCTCTCTCCAGAATTAACACATAGCAATGCATTTTAGAAAAAAAAAAACCAAAAAACTAATATTAGAATGAGTTAACATTTACTGATATGATACTGTACAAATCTCCTATATGGATACATCCATGTCATAATTATTCTTGCCTTTGGAAATGCATATCTTTTGTGATAACTCTTGCAGATAAAGGAAAAATTGACATTACATGATAAACAACTGTTTTCATGTAAATAAAACACATTTAACATAGTTCACAGTGCAAAGCACAAAGATACTTGCCATTTTACCTGACATGTTCTTGCACTCTCAATTCATACTTATATTTCCAATTAATGAGGAACAGGTGTGATATTTTGGTTAATATGAAAGGAACTTCAGCATACATAAAGTAAAAAATGTAATACAACATTTCAATACATTCAAGAATGAACATCATATAATCTTATCAATAGATGTAGGAATAACAACTGATAAAAATCTAACAAGTTCTCTCTGAGAACAAATCACAATTAGGCAATCTAAGCAAAACAACAACAACAACAACAACAAAACCAAAAAACAAATAATAATAATGCACAAGAAACCCATGCAATGTATAAGTTACCCAATTTCCAGAATACCAAATTTGGAGACAGGATACATTCCCAATAAGATCTGGAACTAGTTGAGGTTGTACACAATCACAATTGCTATTGAATTATTATTACTATTAAATCCTTCACTAGAGGTACTAGGTAAGAAAGGGGGATTAAAGAAGACTTATATTATAAAGGAAAAATTATCCATGTTTAAAGTCAACCTTAGGACACAAAGACTAACATAAAATATTAGACCACTTAAGTTCATAAAAATATTAGACAATGTTGCAGTGTATAAAATCAATCAACATAAATTAATGGCCCTAATATACACAAACAGGTGTATGGCTAACCAAGAACTTGTAAGGATAGTACCTTTCAAAATAGTGTGGGTCTGAAGAGTAAATTCATTATAATTAAAATAACCAAAGGTGTGTAAGTGCTCTATGATAAAAATGCCAATAAAAACAAGCAAAATGGAAATACAGGAAAAATATGAAGAAACTTATCATATTTCAGGACCGGTAGAATGAACATCATTAAATGTCAATATTACAGAATATAATGCACAGATCCCAGCAAAAATCCCACAACAATGTCTTCAAAGATAGAAAAATAATAGAAAACTGCATCCAGAAATACAAGAGTCCAGAAAAACCCATGTTATCTTGGGGAATCAAAGAAAGCAGAAAGAGACATCCTGCAGGGCACTGGTAATCAGAATGTACTAGAATTTGGTATAGAAACAGAAAGAGTTTTCAGAATAGAATATACATTCAACATGTGATTTTACTTAGTATGGTGAATTACTCTTCAACAAGAGAGCTGACCATAATCCAGTTAAAAATGTTGGTCTTGGTGCTAGCACAGAAGCATAAAGTCTAAAGTCCTCTCTTTGATCCATATGAGCACCAGCTCTAATCCCAGTGGACCTGCTTCCCATCTTTCTCCCTGCTCCTGACCTGAGAAAGCAGTTGAGAACAGCCCACAGCTTTGGAATATACAACCATGTGGAAAGCTCAGAAGGAGATCCTAGCTCCTGGATTCAGATCAGCTCAGTATCAAAGTTTGTGGCCTCTTGGGGAGTGAATCAACAAATGGAAGATCTTCCTTTCTGTCTCTCCTCCCCTCTTTTTATCTGACTTTTTAATAAAAATACATCTTTAAAAACAAATAAAGTAAAATAAGATAAAATAAATTATTGTTTTAAAAAAGATTTGTCTGTTTTTGGTCCCGGCGCTGTGGCGCAAGTAGTTAAGGTCCTCGCCTTGTACGCCCAGGATCCCATATGGGTGCTGGTTTTATTCCGGCAGCGCTGCTTCCCTTCCAGCTCCCTGTTTGTGGCCCGGGAAAGCAGCAGAGGACGGCCCAAGGTTTTGTGACCCTGCACCCACGTGGGAGACCCTGAGTAATCTCCTGGCTTAGCAGTGGCATAGCATCGGCTGTTGCACTCACTTGGTGAGTGAATCATCGGACGGAAGATCTTCCTCTCTGTCTCTCCTCTCTGTATATATCCGCCTTTCCAATGAAAAAATAATAAAAATAAATCTTTAAAAAATATTTGTCTGTTTTTAGACAATTGGATATTAGCCTATAGATACTGGAAACAATCCACATCTGACCTTAATACACAATCATCTTTATCTAGAGCAAGGATCTACATCTGTACCAAAAAAAACATCAGGCCATTAGAGGAAGATATAGGAAGTACTCTGAAAAATATATACAAGGACGCAAATTTCTTGGAAATATCACCAAGTACAGATACTCAAAGCCAATCTAAACACACAGGACTATATCGGATTTGAACCCCTGTACAAAAAGAATAATGATGAATTTTGAAAAAGGAATGGGTAAAGAAACAGTTACATTTATGCAATGGAAGAGCACACTATAATGAAATCCAAAATAGCTTTAATGCTTTCCAACATAGTGGTTTTAAATGTAGGCAATTATGCACAGTGAAATCAGTCAAACCCAAAGCCACATATAATATGGGTCTCTCTGATGAGTGGCCAATTGTTTAGCCTTATAAATATACTGTTCAAATATTTGAGGTTTTTGCAGCTTATAAAATTTCTTGCATGTACTGAGCAGTAAAAAAAAAGGAGGGTTGTTATTATATTCCAGTCTCTGAAATTTCCCATTCCTTCATTAATACCCTCCCAACTGTTATTGATTTCCTCTCTAATATTTCAATGAGCGGTCCTTCATGAATAGTCACAAAACTATCACTCTGCTATTGAAGAATTTCCCTAAATTGCATACACAGACATAGTCAGAGAGTCTACCATCCTACTGTCAGGATATATTTAACTGTTTCTCTGACTGCGTGGTTTTGGTCTGGACACAGGGAGGCATACTGCATTATGTCTCCAGAACTGGTCATAACAGTCTCCATTACACTTCTAATATATCCCCTTGATAGTAATCCGATAAAACATAGTCCACAACAGGAAGAAAAACAGAACATTCTCATCAACATAAAGTTAAACAAGATGCTACAGAAATGCCAATACATTAAAAGTGATGAAAAAGTACATTAAAAAAAAGTATAAAAATTGAGGCTAATTCATGACCCATGTGGTACAGAATAAATGACAATAAAACCAAGATCACTATTTATGAGTTAGGAAAAACAGTGTTGAAAGGAGATATTTAAAATCTCAGGTATTTAAAAGTAATTAAAAAGTCTTTTTTGGGTGATTCAACTAAAAATACACAAGGGATTACTGGAAAAGGCACACATAAATAGGAAGTACTGAAAGATAAAATTCAGAGCAAAATGTTAGAATTAATGTCCCACTCCCAAATCTGCAAGCTTAAACATAAAAGAACCATTCCTTAAGAACAGGAACAAAATAACCCTGCAGCCACATTGTCAATGAGCATGATAAAAGAACAATTGCTTAAAATTAGACATAAAAGGCAAATGGTTCCAACTTCTTGCTGTTTACATGGGTCATGAACTTTGTGCTCGCAGCACCCACGTCACTGTATATTCCCACCCGAGCAGAAGAACTAGGGTTGAAAGAAG